ACACACACCTTCAGCTGCAGTTTTCCAAACCGTGGAGCAACATTAAGGAAGTAGTACACCTGTTCTGGGGGCGTGTCCAGGTCCTCAGCCTCCAGAACCACACTGGAGATCACCCTGAGCTCACCTGAGTCCACCTGCAGTCCAGCATTCCTGAAACACCACAGAAGAAAATTTCTCATTACGTTTGTGGTCAAGCACATTTTTCTGTTCTCAGCATGCTCATAACTTCCATCCTGCATGGAGTTCAACTCAAACATCTGTTTAACTTAAAGTTAAACAGATGTTTGAGTGCCCCCTCCTGGCAGATCTGTGTTCAGAGTGAGACAAAAGTTCACTTAAACTTCTTTCCTGTGCAACAAAACTGCAGACAGAGAGGAGGTAATGACACTGACCCTCTAAGAGCACCTGTATGTCACAACACCAAGAGCGGCATACCATACCAACATCTCTGAGGTGAAGCGCAGAGGTGAAATATTTCTGACTTTAAAAACATCTTGCTTTATTTTTATCATCAAACACGTTTCGCCCTACAGGACTGGAAGAAAACACGAACAGAAGCCGTTTGATGTGAGTCACGAGCAGGAGGATAAACGTTTGTGTGAGCAGGCTTTTCCTCTGGGATGGTGGAGATGTTGGTGGTGCTGGTGGTGGGGTCTTTTTTTGTTTTTTTCGAGGTGGGGCGGTGTTGAACATCAGGAACCATCTGGCTGCTTCTTCACTCGGAAGTAAAATCCACGCAGGAGCGAAGCTGCCACGTCCATCCTGCAGGAAACGGGAAAACAAGGCGGCCGGCATCTGCCAAGTCTCTGTGTTATTTCTGCCTCGGCGGCCTTTACAGCACCAGCTCAGCCTCCGCCAGCAACCTCCACCCCCACCAACACAGCTGATCTGGGGACAGCGCAGGGGAGGGGGTGAGGGACAGTGGGTGGGAGCCCAGTCAAGGATGCAAATTCACAATCAGTGGAATGAAAACACTAAGGGTGGGGGAGGAGGGGGTCACAGGTCACATGCACCTACCACCCCCTCCCTGGATTACACAGCAGCTGCAGACAGATGTTAAACCGGACGTCTGCTGACAGTTCAGGACTTAAACGAATATCCGAACACCCAAACAACACAAAAAATTATAAACGGCTCAAAAGGTGATGCGATCGGAGCCGGAGAGATTTCTGAATTTCAACTTTTAGGGTCCAACGCTCAGACTGCAGAGGAACAACAGAGGTACAGGTGTGAGGTGGAAACACCTGGACTGAGCATCACACATAAACTTTTATTTTTAGAGTTTTTACGCCGTATTAAGAATTTACTGCACTTGTTTCTGTAGCA